TGACACAACCTGATTGACCTATTTGATAGTGGCTGTATGTCAGCTAGGGCGAGCCCTACCTGTTTAAGGACATAATGCTGCTTCCTGAACAGGCTCTTGATTTTTAACTTTTCAGGGCATTAATAATAATCTCTTGTGTGTGCATATTTGTATGTGTGAACATGTACATGTGATGTATGTGTTTATTGCATGTGTGTTTGTGTGTGCATATTTATGCACAGCACATTTTATTTGCATGCCTATGCAAGTATGTACACACAGCTGAATACAATTCCAGTGCATTAAATACTAATGATATGAGAACCATTCTGGCCCACAGAGCAGCCTTGTGTCCTTAAGCAAGGGTGTGCTCTCCTTAGCTGGCATGCAGGTCACATCAAATAGGTCAGTCAAGGTGAGTCAGGGTCACTTCCAAACTGTACACACTGAATATGCAGTGCATACAAGTCTGGCGCACTCTGGGAGACGTTTCACGTTACTTTCATGTTATCTTTCCCAAACACCCCTTTCATGCTATCGGGCTTTCCCACCTGTTTCCACTAGGGTTAGAGGAGGCTGTTTCTCTGAGGTCACCAGTACACATTTTGGTGAAGATTATTATGGATGTTTTCCATGATGGCCTTCCATCACAACCATGATCCATACCATCAGAACCCTGGGTTCTGCTTTCCTCACTTGTGGCAATAAATTAATCCAGGAGGACTGTTTCTTTGGCAAGGAAGCATCTTTCACAAAAAGTCTGAACTGCATGCTGGGAGCTTTCCAGAAACTGACTCAGCAGCCACGTCCAGACATGCATGAATGTTTGGTTCCCCGGGGGCAACTAGCGATGGTGCACCTTGTGCTGCCACTAGTAGTCCTGGGGGGAATGCCTATGCCATGTACACTCCGGCATGTGGCAAGTTACCGGGGCTGGGGTAGGGGAGGCTGGGGCTAGCACTAGACTGGCCCCAGCAGCCTTACCTGGGGGTCTCCTGGGGCTGCAGCAGCAGTGCTCCTGCTGTGTGGATCCTGGCCAGCAATGGAGCATGGCTCTGGCTGGCCACGCTCCAGCTTTGGTCAGTGCATGCTGCAGCCACGTGTGTCACTCTGCTTTTTTTCCCCACAGGCTTTTTTGACCCCTGGATATCCAGGGATCAAAAAATCCCTCTGCGCTGCACAGAGAACAGCTAAATATGCAGTATACTGTGCGGCCACACTCGTCTGGACACAGCCAGTTTGGCTGAAATCTTCAGTAGATCAGCTAGAAAAGCCCAGCCCTGCACATAAAGACAAGACTGAGTCCTGATAATATTAATTAGAATCTTACTTATGCCATTAACAGAACAGCGTGCTTAAATATGATGTTTCCAAGTTTGCTTCTATCATATGTACATCTCTCTATATGTATATGTACAAATATACATACACAATGACTTGAGTGTATTATACATATACTTCCATTGCACACACACACATGGGCACACACACACACACACTGTGTATGTATTGTGTATATATACTACACAAGCTGTTGGAGTTTGGTTGGGGTGAAGGGGAGGGCAGAACTAGCATTAGATTTTCTGGGGTTTGAACCATGTACTTTCAGCATATTTTGAGGACTGTTTCAGCTGCAGGAAAATCCTGTAAACTGTATCTGAAGAATTTCCCTTTGGAAAGTATTTCCTTAGTTTGTAATCATTGAGATTAACATGTTCTAGAATAGAATAATTCTTATCAAACTGATATGTGTGAAGCAGATGATTTAACTCCATTGTTTGAGTTATTTCACAAAACAGTTTTATAGCCTATCCTAGAAATCCCATTGACCTCAATGGGATTGTTTATATAGGAAAATCAAGTACAATTTACTCAATTTTCCAAGCCTTAGGACATTGCAAATAATGAGAGAGAAAATATTTTGGAAAATATTTTTAGATATTCCAAGAAATAAAATAAAGATCCCATTATTATTATTCTCTCAAATGTGCCTAGCATCATCTTGATACAGTAAATACCAAGTTACCATTTCTCCAGTGCCCCCAAACTAATTTCAAAGAAAACTGGACATACACTTGGGTGGGATGGTTTAGTCATGGGTGCTCCTGCCTTGAACAGAGTGTAGTGATCACTGAGTTCAGTAAATGTAGGCATATAAAGAATTAGAACAAATGAGAAGTTTTATTGTGAGCAGTAGATAAGCTTTTACAGACCTGTAGTCTCTCTCTTTTCCTGAGTAGGTGCTCCCTAACTGAGGGGCTATCTTCTAATTCCCAACTCCATCAGCTTCCTGTTAGGGAAGTTTTTGTATATATAAAAAATATATATATTGGGGGCGGGGGGAAAGAG